TAACAATTAGGGGGGGGCGGGCAACACCCCCCCCCCCCCCTTGAGGTGAAAATTTGGGGTTGAAAACTACACTATGGCCTTCTCCCTGCCGAAAGGGTATTCTCTGCAAAATTTCATTGTATTTGCTCGCACCGTGTCGAAATGCATGAAGAACAAACAGACAAACTTTCTTCTTTATATATATATATATATATATATATATAGACAAATATTAATCCTGATAATGGTTATTCTGTTAGACAAGAAAATGGGCAACGAAAAACTGGGCCACCACCAGGTATAATTCATTTGTTTATTATTTATTTGTCAATTAAAATATCAATTTTCTTCTCCAATAGTTTCATTCTAAGATAAATAATTGTTAGAACGACATGATGATTAATATTTGCTTTCATGTGATTAATTATTTTTTTCATACCTTATTGATGAAAAACTTAAATATTCTATCGATTGAATCGAATCTAATAGAACTCTGTTGATTTTTATCAGCTTCTTAAAATATTTTAGCAAAAATTTCTCGCAAAAGATAATTGTTGAAAAGTATAAATCGCTAGATATTGTTGTTTTCGAATTATTGAACTTGCACATAAAGCTCAATTTAATATATGTCGTATAGATCAGATAATCATTTTTCGATAGTTTTTATTTGCATACCATTTGTTTTCCTATCTTCATATCTTTAGAAAAGCTTTATTTTATTAGAAGTGTTTAACTTTGAGACAATCAAAATCTGTATTGAACATATAATAAGTTGTATAGAATAAATAATGAATTGATAAAAAAATTTACAATATAAGTAAGTTTTAATAGATATTATTTAGTTCTTATTGTGAGATAAATATTTTTATCAGTATACTATTTGTTTTTATCAATTGATATTTCTATGATTCAAAGCTGGAAAAAATATCATTATATTGATAGTTGTTTTCGTATTGAAAATCTCTAACCGATCATGCAAATTAACATGCAAACTATATAGTATTCTAGTAGAAGAAAGAACTTGGATTTTTACACATATTTTTGGTGAATCAATGTTGTTGTTGTTTTCTACAAAGTTTATTGAGAATGAAATAATTGAATACAATTCTTTTAAAATCGTTTAGATTGGTCAACAACATGCCATCCGCCTGGTCGTGGTTGTGAAGTATTTGTTGGCAAATTACCTCGTGATTGTTTTGAATCTGAACTATTTCCATTATTTGAACGTTGTGGACAAATCTATGAAATGCGTCTAATGATGGATTTTTCTGGTTTCAACCGTGGCTATGCATTTATAACATATACATGTCGCGATGATGCAAAACGTTCTGTTAAAGAATTAAATAATTATGAAATTCGTCCTAGTCGTTTAATTGGTGTTTGCCAATCTGTTGATAATTGTCGTTTATTCGTTGGTGGAATACCAAAAACTAAAAAACGGGAAGAAATTCTTGATGAAATGTGTAAGTATCCCATGTCGAATAGAACAGTCCGTAAACGGCCCTAAACGCCTAAAAACGGCGAAAAACGGTAGGCGTTACGATGGCCAGATACGCAGTACCGGAAAACGATGTGATACAGCGAAAAACGGTGGCCTTTTAGGTGACGGTTTCCGTGTTGTCGGAAACGACTTCCTTCTAATGCGAATGTTTTTTACCGTTTTGCATCTGTTTTACTTGGAGATATAAATATGGGTAAAATACACACATAGACACTATCGCTCAACATATTGTATTCATTTTCTTTTATTTCTTTATTTATTTTTACTGTATTTTATATTATATTATAAATTATTTTATTTTATTTTTTAAACTATTTTATTTTATTTATTTATTTATTTTTACTGTATTTTATTTTATATTCTAAATTGTTTTTATTTGTTGAATGTTAGATTTTATTTATTATATTCCATTTTATATTATAAATTATTTGATTCTGGATTTTAGATTATTTTGTGTTATTCTATTTCAATTTTAATTATGTTATTTTCTACCGTTTTATTTTATTTTATTCTAGAGAAAGTTTTCGAATAGCGAGTTTCCTAATTTAATTGAAATAAATAGTAGACTTAGGTTTTTAATTTCGAGTGTTCTTCTTCTGTTGTTCAATGATTCAACCGAAGAAATCGGCGGACGGAGAATACGAATAAACTACAAAATTGGCGTGCTATTCTGTATGACTGTTTTTTGCTATTCGGACTAGACCATTCGATCTGATGTGATAATGAATGACATTATACTTTCTTCGTACAGAAATTAATCGTAAACATACATAGAATCTTTCTTTTGTTGATTTGGGATATTATTTTTCCTCTTTTCTCTCCATGAATTAATTTAGCTCTAGATCGCGCCCGGCATATTTGGTCATATTGTGTATAAAAACAATATCAAATTATTGATTTTGAAACCTTCTAATTTTTTTAGATCTCACCGATGAATATCGATCTAGAAAATGCTATTTGTTATGATCAAGAACAACGAAGTAAAAGATACAAAAAGAATAACTCAAATGCTCGTGCTCGTACTGATCTCGCTCAAGAAACAGAAGAATCGTTTTATTTACCCAAATGTCCATTAACTGAAGAATTTTCTCATTGTTCTAAATTACATGATTTACAAGAAGAAGTACAAGTTATTATAGATGAAGATGATGATCGTATTGATGATGCTTTAAATTTTCATAAAGATCAAGATGAATTTTGACTGAAAATTATTGTATTGATTCTGATGCTGTGGGTGGTATGATAAATTGTGAATACGATGAATGTAATAATAATGATTTTAACATTGATGATGATACGGATTGTTCAACATCTGACAATGATAGCAGTGAAGCAGAAAGTGAAGAAGTATGTTTGCACGAATATACAAACGTTTCAACTAAATATTATTGTACTGATCTATTGAATTATTTACGTGCTGCAGATATTTCCAAATCACATTCAACGCATCTCATTACATTGATTAAATCGATTTTGCCTACACCTAATCACCTTCCTGCTACAATGGATGATCTTTTGTTGTTTATGAATATTGATAATTTATTTTCTAGACGATCAATCTGTCTAATATGCAAAGGAAATTTAGAATATAAACAAAGAAAATGTTTAAACTGTAAATGTTGTGATGAAAAATCAATAGCCGATATTTATGACATTAACTTGAAAGACGTCTTCACCAAATTAGTTAAACGTTTAACACCTATTATTGAAGAATACAAACAAAAAATCTATAATAATATCGACGAACAAGAAACAAAAGATATTCCGTTCGGATATTTGTATGGAGAATTATTAAAGGAGTATTCTTCAGAAAATATTCTTAGTCTCATACTTCATCTCGATGGTGTTGGCCTTACTCGTTCAAGTAAATAAGAAATGTGACTATTCAGTGGGTCGATCGTCGAGTTACCACCAATTTTTCGATATCGTCGTTATAACATGATTTTAATGTCAATATGGGTGGCGTATACTGAACCGAAGCCGGATTTATGGCTCCGACCAATTATTTCACAAATCCGGTCATTGAAAATGCAAGGTATTGATCTTTTTATAGTTTAAATTAAGATAATAATATTTCAGCAATTGAAAAAAAAAGTTTTCGTCTGCTATCTGTTTTTCTGCTTAGGATCGAATTTCTTTTTAAAGAATGTCTAAATTTTATAAGTTAACTATTTCAGTTTTTTTACGAATGACTTCTCTTTTTGAACTCTGTTTAGACCAAACAAAATAAATTCTCATTCTACATCTATATGACTTGTTGAAAACAAAAGTTTCTCTATAAATATTTCTTGTACTTTAAAATGAAATTTTACACACTGAAAAAAAAGTAAGTACTCTACGAAACTTAAAAAGGTTCCCGAGATTTGCAACGAATTCGAAACCCTTTTGCGATGTCGTATGGAACCTTCAAAGTTCCGTGTAGTCTCACGAAACCTTTGTCGGAGTCTCCGATATCTTTAAGGGTTTTGTGAGACTTTACGAAACCCTTGAAGAACCTCGAAGGTTCCGTATGATAAAGAAAAATGGTTTCGAATTCGTTGCAAATCTCGGAACCCTT